GTGCATCGCCGGTTGCGCAACGCGCTGCAACCTGCACGCAACGCGCTCGGCATGCGAGATCGCGAGATTCGTGGAACGAATTTCGTAGTTTCGCGGACGAAATTTTTTCCCGCGGACACCCGGTCGAATTAAAGGGTTGTATCCCTTTTAGTGGTCGTAAAAGATAACTTTCTTGGGACTTTTGATTGAAAACACTGTTGCACAGTATGCAACCGGTTTTTGTTAAATAATAGCGACACTTTCTGTTATGGAATAGCAATAGTTTATTGTAAGCTTATCACGTGCATGTGATAAACACATAAAGCAATCCGAGTGAAGTGTGCAGGGTTTGTTATACGTGTTTTTGGGTACTTAAATCAATTCTTTTGGAAAATACGAACTTAAACAAAATCTCAAAGAAAGCATCTTGAAAGGGAAGTAATTCCTTAATGGACTACAGAACAGTCAGCCTTGAAATACCCCACGAATTAAGTTAGTCATTCTAATCGAAACTACAGAGTTGAAATTTACCGCTGCGATCGAGTTGATTCTAATGAAAGGCTCGAGCAACGACATTATGAGAACAGGTTATTTTTAAGACAGGTCAGGAATCGTATCTACATACGTATGTATTAGTCGTATCTGTTATACGTACATCCATTAAATTGTATGTTACACAGTTGTAAATTGTATGTTTCACAGTTTTTTCTAATTAGTCACGAGCGACGCTAATAACGTCATTTAGAACTTACTTGGTGCAAATAGGTGTTCCGTCATTGCGACAGGTTTCTCGTCGTTTATAAATAAACAAATCCTACACTTCGTTTAATTTTATTTACAAGAGTCGCTAATAACCTCGCTTTTAGCTGATTTAATTTCATCTTAGGTTTTCATTTTTAATAGAGAAATGGCTTTTTCCTTCTTGGCTTTCATTTTAGCTTTTTATTTTGCGCGCTTTAACAATTTCTTAAATAGAAACAAATTTGATGCTGTCAGAATGATTTTGGAATATATATATTATATATAATATATATAATATAATAATAATAAAAATAATATATATTTGGAATATATATATGCTATAGCAATTTTTAGTGGCATGTCAAAATCACCACTGGAGAAGGAAAGAAAGATCTGCGATAGCAATCGTTTTCGTAACCTTTTATAGAGCCTGGCCAACTGCTGTCGAATCGATACAACGACAGGAAATTGGTATTACGAGAAGATTAACACTTTGTTTTCGTAATACCAATTTCCTGTCGTTGTATCGATTCGACATCGGTCGGCCATGCTCTACAAAAGGTTACGAAAACGATTGCTGTCGCAGATCTTTCTATCCTTCCAAACAAGACGTACCGATTTTCTATGTCTCGCGTAACCGTTACGGCAGTGAACGCATTAACGGTAAAACCCTGAGTTGTGTAATCGGAATAAATGCGAACGAGAGCAACGGGGATGTTTCCTCGAAGGAGTCTTCTCGAAACTCGATTGCCCGATATTGATGCGTAATCGCTCGATATCGGCGCAAAAATCGTATTTCCCAGGAAAGCAATCATATCTGTGCGCTGTCGCTCCTAACCTGCTCTCATGAAATATTTCTGGCCGTTCAGCGAAGCCCGATCGAAGCCCGCGTGTTTTATTAACGTAATGGAACAAAAGGGAATCCGTCGGGAGCTTAATTTGCCGCGGTCTTTTCGATGTTACCCGGCGGGCCTCTAATCTATTCCGCGCAGGGAATACAGCCGAGCGTATTCGGGACGGTCGGCCCGGCCTCGGCCCGACTACGCCGAGAGCACGGCGATTCGTCTTCGTACACTAAATAATAATTCGGGGCCGGGCAAGTTAACTTCCTTGCGGCCTCCGCGATCCGTCCGGGAGGCTTCTCGGGGGGATTCCGCCTCGGAACGTAGGCAAACCTGCCGGGCTAACGATCCTCCGCGTCTCGTACGGTCTTACGAGACGACCTCGAAGACCGAGCGGCATCCACGGCGAATCCGCGTTGCGCCGGCTACCGATACGACCACGCGATTAATTCTTCCCATTAATCACGCTTCTATCCGTCGTCGAGTCGCTATCTGCGGGCTTGCTCTACCGGCGGAACTCTAAGCGAAGCAGCATCAATCATAATCGGAATTTAAGAAGCCTCGAGCCGAGAGATCGGTCGACCGGCCCGCGGTCGAATTTATCGCTGCCGCAATTTATACGGCAATTGCGGAAAGCGAAAGATCACACTTCTATTTTCTTCGAAACGAATCGCACCTTCTTCTCGTGCTCCTGAATATGTATGCGAGTAAGCTGGATTAATGTTTCGTCATAGACAGTAGTATCTCGGAAGAAATAGGTATGACAAACTGACCTATATTCTCGTGTCAAAGAAACATGTCGAGAGAAACTTGCATTAAGAAAGTGCTTTCCTCGCAAATATCGTGCAATAATGGTGCAGCATGATTCTACTAGCATAGTAGAATTATGAAATAATTCTATTTAATCCAATTAAAGTATTTAGCGTAAAACATTTAGTGCAGAAACATTTTGCAGGCTTTCAAGGTGCGAGTAATCCGCCGTTGCCGCGATTTCTAAAAAGTTTCCGATAATCCGACGTATAAAGCTGTTTCGAACAAACTTTGAACAATATTCGGACATTCTAATATCGTAACTGACGTTGAAAGAAAATCAACGTTATCGTGTCATGTTCCCGAGATTGTGCACAACGCGGCAATATTTTGGTCCAGCCAATCGAGCCTGGTCAGGAGATCGTTCCTGGCGAGACGGTTTCATTGTCTCCGTTATTTTGCCTCGATTCGACCGCGTTAATGCACACTCGGTGAAAGCCAGTTTAGATAGAACAGTTTACCGGCATTTTTACGGCGAGAGTAATTCCTGGGTTCGCGCGAGACAGAGGAGGCTTATCGCGAAATGACGACGCGTCGCGCGGCTTCCTGCCGTCTCCGCTTCGCCGCGTGCACTTCCGGCAAATACAGTCGAGAAATGGAATCGACGGTTTCCCTTTTCCAGCCGAGCGATCAACCAACTGCCCTCTTACTTCACTCTTGACCAGTCCTGAAACTTTCCCAAAGGATTTCTTGACTGGTGTGACTCCTCGCGGTGACCCTCTTCCTCTTCCGCCGTCGCTTCCTCTTCCCCCGCGTTCTTCTTTGGAAGCTTGTACAACCGCCGCCATAGTCCTCCCCGCGTCCACCTCGTTCGTCATCCTCTTCTTCTATTTTGGGTCGACGCCGCGTTTACAAGTAGGAAGGTATCCTTCGACCTTTTTCGGGGAGCGTTACCCTTTTCGACAACTTCCTGTTGGTGCGATGCAAACGGAACGAAAATGGAAGATGATCGCTGACAATCGATGGTATCGATGAATCGATAATACTGCGGATCGAGATGATCGGGAGGTTGATACAGATTTTTGAATCATCTATACAGGGTGTTCTATAGTTATGTTAATACCGGGAAAATGGTGATTCCTGAGGTCATTTGAAGTAACTTTTTCCTTAACGAAAATATATGTATATATAATGTATATAATAAATAAATAAATAAATAAATAAGAATAGCGTAGAATATAATATATATGTATATTTATTATATATATATTATATTCTACGCTAATCTTTACTTTTTGTATTGTAACAATGGTGATTCCTTCTAGGCTATATATATAACGTAGAGAATATAATATATATAATAAATATATATGTATTATATTCTACGCTATTCTTATTTATTTATTTATTTATTTATATATATATATATATAATTATTTATTATTTATATATAATATACATACATACATATATATAATATACATACATACATATATATATATATATATATATATATATATATATTCTTTACTCTT